TGCAGGCCGATCCCTCCACCATCCTCTCGGTCTCGGCGGCTGGGGAACTCGGGGGCCCTACATTGCATGCCACTGCGCTCCTCCTCAGGCTCTATTATGAAATTCCTGGAAGTTCTCGGTGAGCTCCTGATCAACACATCAACACCATCGAATACGACCACACTGCGCCGCCATTTCAAGATACACGTCAACAAGCTGATCAAGGAGGCTATCAAGGAGACCAACGACCCTGAGGCGACCCTGAGGCGACCTGCGACTGGAACACGGACCCATACGCGAATGACAGCGCAGAGTAAGACCGTGTGATGACCAGCTTCTCCAGATCGCTGGACAACTACTGGGGCGAAGCTGCCAACCCACCTGTCTACACGTTCGGGGTGATGGACAAACAGAAGGCCCTGCCGCGCTTCGTCAACCACCAGCTCTGCAGCATGACCTCATACCCAGTGGCCAACGACTGTACTGACCTACCAAGCCAGTACTACGCAAGGATGGAGCGTGGGGACATCCTCACCTACATCAAACCAGAAATACGCTACAATCCCACGGGCATGCCGACGCCATTCGCAACATCAGCTTTCAAGAGGGACATCGCCAACTACATGATCCAACAGATGAACGGCCTGGTCAAGAGCCAGGACGCCGCACCACCCGCAGACCCAAAGGGCCAGCTGACGCGACCAGGCCCAGACGACAACGACAACCCACCAGACCACGGAGACGCCCGCAACACCTGCCGCACCTCAACAAGGGACGGATCACAACTGAGATAAGAGCCCCAACACCAGGACTCCCAGCCATAGCAGCTACCATACACTACCAACGGCCGACCTCTTGACCAGAGGGATGCTCCTGACGATGGACACGAGAACGGCCAACCAACGCCTCCGCGAGATGGTTCACGCACAATACATCTTACCGACATCGCCACTGAAAGGCATCGTACCGCAGCGCCCACCCGCAACCCGAATCACGATCACCGACAGCAACAGGCCTAACAGCGAGGACGACATCTTGGACACCAAGTACCCCGTCGTTCGTTCCGACATTCAAACGGTCACGGGCACTGGCGAGGAGGAATACTACCATGGCTATGACTATAAGGAGAAAAAACACCTTAGACATAAACATGTGGCGCTCCGCGCGGATTTCTGGGATCTGCGCCAGACCCCCCTCCCTGGCGCGCGCAGTGCATCAGGGGCGGCGCCGGAGGCGCCGCCAGGCGGGCCCAGAGCGGATCCAAGAAATCCGCGCGGAGCGCCAACAAATTATGTTTATAACGGTTTTCCCTTCTTCGAGAAATGCAAAAAGATACCCGACCCCACGACTACTACAGGCAGCGACGGGCGCCGAAGCCGACTGCACGCCCAAAGCTGGGCGGCAACGAGGGATCTCGCCGACAGAGCAGTGGACCCGCGCCTGGCCCGGCCCACGCTGGCCCACCCCCGCTCGGCCCATCGACCCACTCGTCCGAGAGGGCCAGCGCCCCCCCCCCCCTTGATCTCTCACAGCTTGTACAATCCCAAACTCGGATAGCGGAGCACCAGAAGGCCGTCCAAAGGCTTGTTCTGGAGAGCTTCTGGGCAGACGTGTTTGGAAAGGCCTGCCGGGACACGCTGCAAGTTCAGGCAGGGCGCGCCGAGCTGTTTCCACGGAAGCTTGAACGAGCTCAGGGGCTACCCTGCGGTGCCGGCTTCTCGTCCTACAACCCTACAGCTCTCCAAGGAGCTATTCGGGGATGTGGCAGGCAAGGCGTGCACCACCCTCATGCCAAGAGGGGACCTGCCTCACGGAAGCCCATCACTGCGTCACTCCTGCTACCCACCAACTACAGCAGACGATCGAGTTCTCCTGCGATCAAGACGGACACCACCAGCTACTCCCTGCCTGCTCCCGACCTCGCGCTACTCTTACCAGGCCACCGCACTCACTCTGCACTGACAGCAGCAGCAACAGCTGTGCACCCATCTCAAACTCCAACTTCCCACTCTCAGGGCGATAGCAGCACTCCCTCCTCTTTCAATGGCACTTGCGACGGCACTCACATCATGGTCTGCACTACGGCGGCTACATCAATGGCACGCCATGCTACGCAGTGGGTCCACAACACTGGCTTTCCCACCAACGCGTGCCATGCAGACCACACATCGGGCGATAGCAGCGCTCCCACGTCTCTTACTGGCACATGCGACGGCGCTCACGTCAGGGTTTGCACTGCGGCGGCTGCATCAACGGCACGCTATGCTATGCAGTGTGTCCACAACAGTGGCTTTCTCACTTGTGCTATGCAGACCACGCGCAGAGGGACCTCTACCCTTAGGTCGGGCGTGTCCCACTACAGGCCGATTTTAGACGAAAAACAAACAACCGAGAACACACCAAACATGCTCAACAACAGTCAAAACAACGTCCCCCGAGTATCCTCTTTACTATCTTTAGATATTCCCCCTGCCGAGGGACAGGCCCGACTTATAGCTCTGCCCTCCGCTCCCTCCGCGCCACGAGGCGAGGACACGGGGGCGGCCGAGAGGGGGGCGTTCAAGAAGGGGGGGGTCGCAGATCGTGGCCCGAGACCTGTCCGCCGACGAGGCGGGAACCAGGGGACGCATGTCAAGGAGGAGGAGGAGGAGGAAGACGAGGAGGAGGAGGAAGAGGAGGAGGAAGATGAGGAGGGAGGGTATCATGGAGGGGACCATAGCCCCCTCCATGATACCCACCCCCTCAGGGTCATCACACCCCCTCTTGGAAGCCCCCGAACGAAGGACAGGTCTGCGGAGCACTTCCAATGCGCTGCGCTGATCTTTATGGAAGCCTGTCTTGCTCAAGACTGTTGGGAGATTGGCGGCAAACGACGGCACATTGCGGCCAGGTAGCGGCAAACCGACTAGCGGCAAACAACTGCACACGCCCCGAACGAAACGTCCACCAGTCACCCCCTATTCGCCGCCAGTGGCCGCCAAACGCAAACACATCGGCGAAATTCAAGGCTTCCAAGCAAGACCACAAACCTAGTGTGCGGATGCCTCGGGAATCGTGGTGGGCCGTTTGACCAGGGGGGTACTCTGGAGACCAGCTGGGCCTCCCTGGGAACGCTGGGGCGACCGTGGACCAGGGTCTCCTCTGGCAGCGCCCGAGACTTGTGTGTTGTAACTACTCTGGCCGTTCTGGAAGGCTCCAGGACACTCAGAGAACCTCTGAAAACAATCATTCGCATCCCGAGGCTGCCCAACAATACAGCCAACCCGTATAATAAGGACGCACGATCAGGATGCAAGGGCCGTGGAGGGCCCTTTCGAAGCTCTGCGAGCGGGGCGCGGCCAACGAAAGCGGCAAAGGAGGGACCGAAGAGGCAAGGATGCAAGGGTATCCTTGGGAGGGGTGCCCATCCTTACTAGGCGGGTCGACGGTAGAGCCCGGACCACCCGAGCTCGTGACCCGCCGATGCCCCCGAGAGGATCCGGGCCCACGCCCGAATAGCTGCAGCTCTGAGGAGGAGGAGGAGGAGGACTTAGCTGTGCACCTCTGCCCTCGCAAGCCCTCTCGGGGCCTCTCGTGCCGCTCCTTGCGGGACGTTCCTAGAGGCCTCCCACATGAAGTCCGAGTGGACGGGGTCGGAGGATCGCGCCGCATCGTCGATGCATCCCCGATGCATCGGCGATGCATCGGCGGCGCCAGCGATGCATCGGCTACGTCGGCGTGGAGAAAGTCGTGCTCCACATTGAGCCGCGTCGCCGATGCATCGGCGCGACGCGACGCGGTCCTTCGACCCCATCTACTCGTATCCCACTTGGGAGGCCTAGAGTTCCCTAGTGGGAGCACCGTACAGTACGCCGAGAAGAAATATGAGAAACGAGAAGAGCTGCGAGCACCCAGACATCCCAGCCTCTCGCGCGGGAGCAGAGGGGGACAGCGCGCGATGGTGCACCCAGAAGCTGAAAACAGCCCAAGCCGTCCGTCGTTTTTCTCGCGATGCGAGTGGGATCTGGACCTCTGTTACAATGTCTAGAAAATGAAAAACACGCCACAAGCATCAACTTTTGACGCTCCGCGCACAGCGGCTTTGTCTCCTTCTGCGAATTACCTTGTCGAGTCATCGCGGGCCGCGCGATGGGACATTGCCGGCACTCTGCGGGACCGGCGGTGACTGTGGGCCGGAGCGGCAAGATGGCCACGAGGGGAGAGGGCCCCGAGGGAGGCGCGGGCCCTGGACTCCGGGGCTTCTCCGATGACCGGCTCTTCGGCCCGTGCCGCTCTTTGACACACACACACACGCACACACACACACACACACACACACACACGCACACACCCACACCCACACACGCACACACACACACACGCACACACACACGCACACACACACACACACACACACGCACGCCCAGGCCCAGGCCCAGGCCCAGGCCCACGAGGACCCCAGGGGCCCGAAGACTCGGCGGCGCACCCAGGGGGAATGCAGAGGGAGCCGGCCTCGTCAGAAGCGGCGGGGCTTCTCGGAAGCTCGGATGCTCTCCGGCCTTCCGAGATGCCCTCCGTGGCTTCGGAGATGGCTTCAGAAGGCCGGAGGCATTCCGAGCCCTCTGAAAGTGGCCCGCTAGCCTCTGCCGTCCTCCCTGGGCGCGCCGCCGGAGCACGGCGCCAGACCTCTGCGGCCCGCCTTCCGAAATCCGGCGTCCCGTTTTTTTTCCAACGCCCCCCCCCCCATCGGCAATCTCGACCCCTCCCCCCGGGGGACCGAGGGCCCCCCGAGGCCGAAACTGGCCAGACGCCTCCGTCTTGGTGTTTACAGGTCGGAGGTTTGGGCTTCCCCGGCCATCGCTCGGACGTCCATTCCCTGTGTTTTTTCTCGGTTTCGTGCGTGGCTTTTTCGCCGAATGATCAAGGATGCTCCTCGATGGTCTTCGCCGAAGGAAACATGCACACGTCCGAGCGATGCCCCCGGGAGGCCCGCTTCCTCCGCGCCCACGGCAGAAGCGTCGCAGGCTTGGACGCCCGCTGGCCTCGGGCGTGAGCGTCCTGCTGCAGCTGGAGCACCTGGGTAGCCGCGGGAGGCCCCCCCCCGCCGCTTGTCTCGGTAGTGTGCTATGGGAATACTTACCGATCCCTCCATCTCCTCCTCCTCCTCGCTCCTCCTCCTCCTCGCTCCTCCTCGCTCCTCCTCGCTCCTTCTCCTCCTCCTCCTCCTCCTCCTCCTCCTCCTCCTCCTCACGTGCAGCACAGCAACCTTACAAGATATGCCGTTGCCCCCGCTTGTCTCGGTGCTATGTATTTTGTGGGAATACAGTCGGCCTTGATTGGACAGGACACGCGAGAGGACACAAGACCCTTTCCGAGGGTCGCATCGCCATTGGAGTGTAAGAAGGCACGCGTCGCGAGGCACAGGACACAAGGGTACCCTTGAGCCGGCAAGGTCGACCTACTAATCCGGGCCGACTGTACTTACCGATCGAAGAATTAGAGTGGAGGCCAGTCCACAAGAAACCTTCCACAAGAAACCGAACCCTGAGACCCCAGGGCGTCCACTGATTCTTGGTGTGGGCACGTCGCGCTGTCCATCGCAAACCATCGAGACCCAAGAAACCCAGGGCACCCTGGAGGCAAGCAAGGTGTTTCTTGGCATGGGTCTCCACTTTATCCCGGCCCCACCCCAGGCCAACCCTTCTCGGCAATGCAATGCGTGCTGAAAGCGAGCGGGCGCACTCGCATTGAGCTTCCCAGTATCCAGTATCAATGCTGGCAGCGCGAGGGCCATCGAGTGTGAGCGGGCACGTTTGGCGTGCGCTTCTTGGCAATATTGGCAATCATGCTGGCCATGCGATGTGCGTCGTGAGCGAGCTGGCACGCTCGGGCAGAGCTTCCTGCTGGCAGCGCTGGGGATGCGATGTGCGATGCCCGCGAGCCAGCACGCTTGGAGCCCGAGTCCTGGCAGCAGCGCTTGCAGCGCGGAGTGCACTGGAAGCGAGCTGGCGCGCTCGCGAGGCTTCGAGCCGCATCGGCAGCAACGGGCCAGCCGACCAAACACCGAGGAACGCGACGGCACGGAGCCAGCGGCCTTTTCGAGGTGCCCCCAGCCCAGTGGCGACGCAAGGCCTGGCGAAGGCAGGCGAACATACACGATCGTCGATGGAGGAACCCACAGGCTGTCATCAACTGCGTTGACGCTCGAATCGCTGAGCTGCAAGGTCAAAACACGCGAGTTTCGAGGGGGAGGAAGAGGATGAGGAGGAGAAGGGGGAGGAGGAGGAGGAGGAGGAGAAGGAGGAGGAGGAGGAGGAGGAAGAGGAAGAGGAGGAGGAGGAGGAGGAGGAGGATGAGAAAACTTTAACAACATATGCGGCGGTGACTTGATGGCTTTCGGGACCAAGAGGGGGGAAGGGAATCAGTACTTGTTTAACAAATGTAGAGACACTTTTTTCTAATGTCTCTCAAAACGGTGGCTCTACCAAGGTGCCGGCACGCTGGGAAGGCATCATCAACAAACCCAACTAAGAAAATATCTTGCTATTGATAAAAGTAGGTGGACACGCTCCCCCGTGGAATACAGAACCATGGAATAGCCTTGAGTAATCAAGAGCAGAGAAGGTGATTGTGGGGAATACATTGTGATGCCGTTCTTTCCTCAAACCGTGGCTACATCCCAACTCCGAGCCAAAACTGGGAGGCGCCTTTCTGATGCTGCCCAGCTGTCGAGATAACAGCAATATGAAAGACACATGTAGAAACACACACAAACACGCACGCGTCTGCACTGAGTGGTGACGAGCTCCCGACTCCGGGCCTAAACGAGCCGCGTGATCTCCCTACGCGTGACACTCTTGATTGCCGAGAAGACGTGACTGAGATAACACCCGCGTGCCTGTCCTGAGTGGTGACGAGCTCCGATGCATCGGCTACGTTGACGTGAATCAAATCGGGCTCCACATCGAGCCGCATCGGCGGTGCATCGGCAATGCGGCGGATCCTCCGACCCCATCTACTCCGACCCCATCGGGGAGGCCTAGAAGAAAGGCGGGTGTCCCCCACGCGTGATGCCCCTCAAGCAGCGATAATACGTGGACGAGACACCAACCACGCACCATCTCAAAGTGCACGGTTTCCCCCGGGGCCGTAGGCGACCCGAGGAGGAGGAGGAGGAGGAAGAAGAGGAGGGGGAGGGTGAGGAGGAGATGGAGGAGGAAGTGGACGAGGGGAGGGGGAGGAGAGATGATTTATGATGATGATGATTGATGATGATGATGATGATAGATGATGATGATTGATGATGAATGATGATGATGAATGATGAATGATGAAGAGGAATGAAGATGATGATGATGTATGATGAGAATGATAAGATGAAGGATGAGGATGAGGAGGATGAGGAGGAGGAGGAAGGAGGAGGAGGAGGAGGGAGAGGACAGGAGGAGGGAGGAGGGAGGGAGAGGAGGAGGAGAGGAGGAGAGGAGGAGTACGAGGGAGAGGAGGAGGGAGCAGGAGGAGGAGAGAGGAGGAGAAGGAAAAGGAGGAGGAGAGGAGGAGGAGGAGGAGGAGAAGGAGAAGGAGAAGGAGAAGGAACAGGAGAAGGAGAAGGAGAAGGAGGAGGAGGAGGAGGAGGCCGAGGAGGAGGATGAGGAGGGGGACGGGTCGCCTAAGCCCTTCGAAGAAACCCTCCATCTCAAAGTGGTGACGGCCTCCCGGCTCCTGGCTTCCTCAGAAGAGGGACACGGCCGCCTGCCTGACGGGCGGGCGAGGAGATTCGCCGCTGCTGCACACCTCCGGCGAGCGGCCTTGAGGGGGGACGTCCAGAGTCGCCCGAGAGTGTGCAATGCAGCGCGGGGCATGGGGCGAGGGCGAGGGAGGAGAAGGAGGCACCGGAGGAGAGGAGAAAAGCACGGAAGGGAGGGGGGAAAGGC